CCATCCTTCAAAACCCATCTCCAATTTGCCTCCTCCTTGATGCCTGCCGGGAACTAGCTTCCAAACACATTTTACCTTCTCTTCTCTTTAGCTTGAAGCTTCCTTTGATAGGGACATGAGGAGTGCAGGTGGATACAGTTGTCCATTCCCTGTCCCCAACACTTAGATGGGTGGCTTCATATCTGGTGATCCCATGGTGAATATCTCCCATCCCACCAGCCCACCCTCTTCTTTATACAGGGACACTTCTATATGGCCGGGAACACGCACAACCTTCTACTCTTCTCTCTGCTGTGAATATATGGTTCTTTCCACATGTGTCTCATTTATCAGGAAGACTTAGAAAGGCTTAGGACCGTTCTCTGTGCTGTGCTTGACGTGGCACACAGACCGATGAGGCCACTGCATCCTTTCAAATCAAAGTAAAAAGAGGTGTTGGCAAGTGGGGAACGTTCCAGGCTGGGAGTCAGGAGGCCTGGTCTTTCTTGGACTTGCTCTGTGACCTTGAGCTGGACGTGGCCTCAGCTTCCCTTCCACCATCTGCTCAAGGGGAGCTGCGGTCCTCGCCGGCTTCATCCCCTCCCTCCCTCCCAGAGCTGTTGTGCGTTCAGAGAAGATAATGGATGTGAGGCCCCGGGGCTCCGTGTAATTCTGATTAATATTAATGATTCGACACGCAGTTGCCTGCTGCGCTCTGCTCCAGGCCCAGGGCCAGCTGCCTCTAAATGCAGGAGCTCCAGCAGCAGAATGCTGGACTGCTCCCCTCCTCCCCCGGCCCCCCCCAGCTCTGGGCATCCCCCCACCACATGCCAAGGGGTTTTTTGTCTCCTCTCTTCACCCCTAGATTTTTTCCCTGGGCCACTGCCCTAACCAGGACTGGCTGGCCGTTGGCATGGAGAGCAGTAGTGTGGAGCTCCTACATGTCCGGAAGCCCGAAAAATATCAGCTGCATCTCCATGAGAGCTGCGTGCTGTCCCTCAAGTTTGCCTCCTGCGGTGCGTCTCTGGGGCTTGGGTGGGGCCTCGGGGAGCTGGGGAGCTGAGGCAGGGTTGCCAAAACACAACAACAACAACAAAAACCCACAGCAGAAAAAGAGGATGCCTGATTACATTTGAATCTTAGATAAACAACACATCACTCCTTAATAGATGTCCCAAGTATTGCATGGGACAATACTCTAACCAGAGGTCCCAAACCTCTGGGATCTATTGCCTGATGATCTAAGGTAGAGCTGATGTAATAATAATAGGAATAAAGTGCACAATAAATATCATGTGCTGCAATCACCTTGAAGCCACCCCCTCTTATCTTGTTCCCCATGGAAAAATTATCTTCCATGAAACTGGTCCCTGGTGCCAAAAAGGTTGGGGACCACTGCTCTAAAGGACAAAGAATTTGTTAGCATGTCTCAAGCACCTTGTGGGATATACTTGTACACTAAACAGCATATAATTTATTAGCATAAGTATACCCCCAAAATGCATGAGATATGATTTATACTATTTTAGTGCAGATAGATCTCAAATATTGCATGGGATATACTTACACTAATTTTATGTTGTTTTCAGTACTGATATATCCCAAGTAGTTCATGAAACTTACATATACTTAAAAAAAACGGGGGGACTTCTCTGGTGGCCCAGTGGCTTCCAATGCAGGGAGCCTGGGTTTAATCCCTGGTTAGGGAACTAGATCCCACATGCCCTAAGACCTGGCACAGCCAAATAAATATTTGATAAAAAATAGATAATGAACTATTTGGGACCCACCTGTACTAAAAATGATGCATGGTTGATCTTAGGTTCAAATGTAACTGAGCACCCTGGTTTTTCTTTTTGTTTTGCTTCTTTCCCCCCATTTTGGCCATGCCACATAGCTTTTGGGATTTTAGTTCCCTGAGCAGGGATTGAACCTGGTCCCTCAGCAGTGAAAGCAGAGTTCTAACCACTGGACAAGTAGGGAACTCCCTGGGCACCCTATTTTTATCTGGCCACCCTCTCTTGGGGCTCCCCCTTCTTGAAGGTCAGTTGGAGCTCTTTGGGACCTTGGGTTCACCATCTGGAACTTGGGAGGAAGGCTGGAGCCTCAGCAAAGGGGCTTCCTGTCTGCCAGGGGAGGGCAGAGATGCAGGAAAGGGAGGGAGAAGACAGACCAGGTTGCCCTGTCTCTGTCCGCCACCCCCAGCCCTGGCTTCCTCCAGTCCACCGCCCTCCTGAACTCACCCTCCTCCCCCAGGGCGGTGGTTCGTGAGCACGGGAAAGGACAACCTGCTCAATGCCTGGAGGACGCCGTACGGGGCCAGCATCTTCCAGGTACTACATGTCTGAGGTCTCTGCCCCCGCACCACCACTGCAGGACACCAGGTGCCCCAGGACCCAGAGAGGGGTGGGGGTTCAACAGGGGCGCGTCCTCACCAGCCTGGAGCTACTAAAGCAGGCGGTCAGCCTGAAGGCCACATCTGTGCACAAACTGTGTTATTAGTTGTGATAAATCCATATAAAATTCACCATCTTAACCATTTTTAAAGGCACAGCTCAGTGGCATTAAGTACATTCACACTGTCCTACAGCCACCCCTACCATCATCTCCAGAACTTTCTCATCTTCCCATGCTGAAACTCTGTCCCCATGAGACACTGACTTCCCATCCCCCGGCCCCACTGTCTACTTCCTGTCTCTGTGGACTTGATGACTCATATGAATGGGATCACACACTTTATTCTTCTGTGTCTTGCTTCTCTCACTGAGCATCACATCCCCAGGGTCCATCCATGATGCAGCAGGTGTCAGAACCTCCTTCTGTTTTAAGGAATATAAAGGCTGATATCCTACTGTGTGGGCAGACCACATGGATACTAGGATTGTTTCCACTTCTGGGCGGCTGTGAATTGCGCTGCTGTGAACATTTATGTACATTCTCCTGTGCATGCCTGTTTTCATTTCTCCTGGGCAGCTATCTTGGAGTGGAATTGCTGAGAGTTGTTTAATTTTTGGAGGAACTGCCAGACTCTTTCCCAAATATTTCATTCCCACTGGCAACATGGAATGGTTCCGATTTCTCTCCATCCTCCACAACACTTGTTCTGGCGTCTTTCTTAGAGCCATCCTGCTCGATGAGGAATGGTTTTTACATTTTTTAAAGGGTTGTGGGGGAAAAAAATAGTAGATGATGTAACACTGACTGATTTGGTTCTTGTACTTACTGGCCAGAGCTCATTGGACTTAAATGAGCTTTCAGGTCAAAGCCTGAAAATTTACCATTGGGCCCTTTTCAGTAGTTTGTTGAGGGCATTCCCTGGTGGTCCAGTGGTTAGGACTCTGTGCTCTCACTGCCCAGAGCTTGGGTTCAATCCCTGGTTGGGGAACTAAGATCCCTCAAGCTGAGTGGCCAAAAAAAAGAAAAACTTTGCGGAGTGCTGGTGTAGGTCATCCTGCTTTAAGCCTTAGCTCTCTTCTGTGCTGTGTGACCTCATGTCTGGTACACACCCTCTCTAAGCTTCCCAGGAGATGGCGGTTCTCCTGTTCTAGGGAACTGAGTTCCTGCTCTTCCCAGGAGCATCATCACTGTTCTCTGGAAGAACTGTTACCCTCCTTCTCTCCTCATGGCCAGGCTCACCGTGTTGGGCCCCCAAGTCCTGTCTCAGCTCCGGCCTTGACCATGGCTCACCCCTGGGGACAGGCGCTGCCCCAGTTGCCTTGTGTCTTCCCTCTGAACGTGCAGGTGGTCAGGAGCATGAGCCAGACCGTGCTGGCCTTGGCCGCGCCTCACTCTCCCCTCCCCCTCCCCATCCTGTCCACAGTCCAAGGAGTCCTCCTCCGTGCTCAGTTGTGACATCTCCGGGAACAACAAGTACATCGTGACAGGTTCTGGGGACAAGAAGGCCACCGTGTATGAGGTGGTCTACTGAGACCAGCCCCCCTTCCTGCACCCTGGCCTGACTTCCAGGGAAGGGTCATTCTGAACCTCCCCCCTAGTCCTACCACAAGCCCTAAATCTCATCCATGCTCTGGCTGACCCCTCGTGTCCTCCCCTGCTGGATATGGGGCCAGATGCACAGGGGGACCTTGGGGAAATAAATGTATTTATCACAACTGCCTTTTTGTTTTGGGTTGGAGAACTGGGGACATTGCTCATCCCGGAGGGACAGGGTGAGCAAATGGTGATTTCAGAACCTTACTTAGCGGGTGGAAAAGGGCTGACCAGCAAGAGCCACGCCCTGTAAACCACTCTCCTCCTCAGCACAGCTGACATTGGGGCTGCATAATTCCCGGTTGGGGAGCCATGCCAGGCCCTGTGGGGTGCTTAGCAGCATCCCAGCCCCCACACACTCAATGCCAGGAGCACAGATGTCCCCAGACATGGTCCCCTGGGGCTTAGACTCACCCCTGGGGAGTAGAAGCCCTGGTCTAATGGGACACAGGTATCTTGGGAAGGACTGAGGACCCACTCCTGGGGCTGTGCAGGCAGGGCTGGGAACATCTGTCCATGAGATCAGAAGAGCTCATTGGAGCAGGAAGAAGGGCTCCAGAGACTTCCTGGCAGTCCACTGGTTAAGACTCCATGTTTCCACAAAATGGGGCATGGGTTCCATGCCTGGTTGGGGAACTAAGATCCCTCATGCTGCACGTGCTAAGCCGCTTCAGTCTTTTTGCAATCCCATGGACTGGAGCCTGCCAGGCTCTTCTGTCCATGGAATCCTCCAGGCAAAAATACTGGAGGGGGTTGCCATTTCCTCCTCCAGCTGTGCCGCACACTCAGAAAAAAAAAAAAGGCAGGGGACTCCATGTCCAGTTCTCTTGACAGCAGGGGTCAGCGGCTCTGACCCGACTCTCAGGAGAGGTGGACTCAAATGTAGAGACCTGGGCTGGACAAAGTCCCTTCAAACCTATCACGAGGTGCCAGGGGACAGGACACAGCACTGGAGCAATGCTTTTTCCAATTGCTTTATTACACGTGACAAAGATCACTCATCGTGTGAGCCCGCCCACCCTGTCGAGCCCTCAGTATGTGAGCTGGTACACCGAGGCGTGGTCCCTGGACCCTGTGACGATCAGGTGGCTGCTGGGGGACACGTCACAGCACATGACAGAGGATCTCTCGGGCACCTGGGAGGGTTGGGGGGCAGAGCGAGGGACTCACCCATTCTTGTTCTTAACATCTGCCCATCCATTCAAACGTGGTCCCTTTTGGTGGGGGGCCTCTGCATTTGGACCCCTAGGCTTGGCCCCTGAGCACCCAGGACACACACACACGCCACCCTCCTGCCCTACCCTTGTACCTGGACCGCCATGGTCCCTGTGGGCATGCTGAAGATGCTAACCAGGTTGTCTGTTCCCACACTCACCCACCACTGGCCTGGGAAGAGGCAGAGGGGGGCCCAGTCACAGAGAAAGCTGGCAGCTGAGGACTGGACTCCTGGGGATCTGGGAACTGGAGCCCCTCACACCTCCCTGAGTGAGCCCCTGCAGATAACAGCTCTCAGGGGAGTTCCTGCTAATGAAGGGCATGGTCGGGGGGTTGGTCAGGAAGGGTCAGAAAGGGCTGAGCAGACTTTCCTGGTGGTCCAGGGGTTAACACTCCATGCTCCCAATGCAGGGTCCCCAGGTTCGATCCCTGGTCAGGGAACTAGATCCCACATGCTGCAGCTAAATATCCTTCATGCCACAACTAAGACCCAGTGCAATCAAATACATAAATATTAAAAAAAGAGAAGAAAGGGCTGGGTGGAGTGGGTCTTAGTGAGGCAGAGCCCTGTGGGAGGCTGAGGATCGCTGGGGACCCCGGGGGGCTCCCCAGTCCCTTCCTGGCCACTCACCCACAGGGGAGAACTTGAGTCCAAGGATGGTGCCGTCCTTATACCCCACCATGCGCTTCTGGCCCCCGAGGCTGGGCTGCAGCCACTGCTGGCCATTGGCCGTGCCCACCAGCACCCAGTCCTCGTGGGGGCTAGGGGACAGGCTCATTATCTGGGGAGAAGACAGCAAGGAAAACATTGGTCAGGTCCAAGCCAGGTCAAGAGGTGGCAGGAGCCCAGGAACCCACACTGGGGCCTGCCTGCTTCCTGGCTGGGAGGCACCAACAAGCAACTTCACATTTCCAGCCTAGTTTGGCTCATCTACAAAATGAGTGTGGTCCTCTCTACCTTACCAGATTATCACATAGACTCAGAACATGATCTCTTGATACAGAGTACAAAAGCATACAATGTTATCTGGGCAATGGAGGGGGATGTAGCTAAGGAACCCTCTCTTCACAGCATCATGGAGACTTGAGGTCCCACTCCCCCTACCCTTCCCCCAGCATCAACCTCCTTCAGTCCCAGGCCCAGCTGCTACCTGACCAAGCAGGCCCCATCCCAGCCGCACACCTGAGATTCAAACTGGTATTCTTGGGGCCCCCCAGTGGCCCTCAGATCCCAGCACCGCAGGCAGGCGTCCAGACCCCCCGTCCAGACGTGCTGGTCTTTAACAGCAATGCTCTTGGCACCGTTCAGATGTCCCGGCAGGTCCCTGGTCCAGGAGAGGCACAGGCAGGGAAGTCAGAGCTGAGACTAAGCTCTGCGCCCCCAGGAACACCCAATCACATTCCCCAGGGGTGAGTCTAAGCCTCAGGGGACCATGTCTGGGGACATCTGTGCTCTTAGCATTGAGTGGGTGGGGGCTGGGATGCTGCTCAGCACCCCACAGGGCCTGGCACAGCTCCCCAACTGGGAATTATGTCACCCAATCACATCGGGCTGACAGATGGGGAAACCAACGCAGACAAGAAGTCCCACAATGTGGCTTCAAACAAACAGCCCAGCCGTGACATGAACCCAGGTCTTCAACTCTCCAGTGTTAAGAGTTCCCAAAGGAAAGGGGCTTTTGCCTTGAAACTGCTGGGTTCCTGCTCAGGGGCTAGGCCAAGACAGGAAGGGGCTCTCCCCCGGGCCACACCTGACCACACTCCAGTCCCGCAGGTCCCAGATCCTGACACTGCCGTTGGTGAAGCTAGCAAAGGCCAGGCTGTCCTCAGAGCTGGCAGCCAGGGCCTGGCAGGTGAGGCCCGCGCAGGGCAGTTCGGCTGTCACGTGCAGGGAAGGCGCCGTCAGGTCCCACAGGCTCACGCCCGCCAGGTTGTGGCCGCCCGCAAGCAGGGCCGTGCTGTCTGAGAAGAGCAGGCAGGTGCGCAGGTAGGCCCCCGGGGTCTGGGGTGGGCAGAGCCTGAGGTGAGCTTCCGTCCCTGCAGGGGCCGGGGCACTCCCAGTTCCCACCAGCCGCTCCCAGAACCCTCACCTTTACTCTCAGGAAGCTCTCTGGAAACCTGGCCTTCGTCACCTGGCCCACCAGGCTCCACACCTTGACGCCACCCCTGCCGCAGGTGAAGGCGTGCCGGGTGAAGCTGCTGATGGCCGTGGCCAGCACGGGCTCCCCGTGTTCTAGTCTCTGCATCTTCTCCACTCTGTGTGGGACGGCCAGCTTCCTGGACTGCCAGGGCAAGGCATCAGGCCTATTCCATGTGTTTTCAAAGTCCTCGGGGTCCCAGCATCTTGAGAGAGAAGGCCTCAGAGTCAGCAGCCTGCCTGAGAGCCTCTCTGCCTGGAGTAGGGCACCTGGCAAGCCCCAAAGTGGCTTCCTTCCTTTTTAGGTTCGGGGATTCTCTCAAGCTTCACTTCACCACACTCTACATCCCCCAAGGTCCTACACACATTCCTCCAAGTATTATCTGTCTCCTGTAATGGAACACTGCTCCCCTCTACCCAGAATGCTTTGTCCTATCCCAAACTCCTACTCATCCTTCAAGGCCCCTTTTTTTTTTTCCAAGGGGCATTTTGCCCCTTCCTCTAGGAAGTCTTCTCACCCCTACATCTGGGCTCCCCTCGCCTCAGACCACAGGTTGGAACATACTTACATGGGCTTCAGAAATTGATAGGTCTTCCTGGCAAGCTCCTGTGGGTGAATGAGGTCACACCTGAGCCACATCCCCCTCCTGTCTTGACCGCCTCCCCCCCAGCTTTTGTGTGGAGTGCAAGGTCTTACTTACCTGGGCCATGTGGGAGGACATCCCCTGTCCTATAGCACCCAGGCCTGGGCTTCCCTCTCGGGAGCCCTCAGAGGAACTGGGGGAGGGCGTGGGTGGGAGGAAAACTGGGCAGAGACAAGAGTGAATCAGTGGCGGGTGTGCCCCCTCCCCCCCAGGGCAGACTGCCCTCCTTCCCCTGGATTACCCAGAGTGTCTTTGGGAAGCACTTTCACTCCCAAGTATCGTGGTCCCGGCTCCTGGCTCTCCTGCCCATGGGAATTGGGGAAGTCAGTTCAGACCAAAGGATGTGCGAGGGTTGGTCTGAGAAGCTGAACACGGTGGGAGGGCCCAGACAGCGTGGACAAGATGCTCCAGCTGCCAGCAGTCCCATCCTTCCGTTAAGGCCAAGCTGCAGGTATTCTCTGAGGGTCTCCAGGGAGTAAGGGGGGGGGGGCAGGCCAATCCCACAGGAACCCAGAGGTCCCTACCAGGGGGCTCACTCAGGACAAAGCCCACTCCTCTGGGTAGTAAGGATTCCGGTTACTTACGTGGTCTGGTGTCTGGTCTGTTGCTATGATGACAAGAAGGGATAAGGGAGAGAAGGCAGGGCAACCAAGTTCAATGGATGCTGCCTCTCCACGTGGCCTGAGCCCCCCAGTCTCCGCACCCCCAGGGAGACTCACTCCTGTGTCTCGGGCGCTCCCCCTGGTCCTGGGTCCCAGCAAAAATCTCCCAGAGCTGCTCCGTCAGAATATCCTGTGAAAACCGGGGCTCTGAGTCCCAGCATGGCTGCGTGTCTCGCTTGCGGACTGTGTCATTGTCCACTCGGGGGGATCGCTGGAACCAGTCGGATGACCTCATGACCAGTACGTCTTCGAAGTCTAGATCCTGGAGACCGGAGGTCTGTGGGGGTGTGGCCCCTGGGTGCTGGGGGTCCTGGCTGGGTTGCTCACTGAGGAAGGCCTGGCTCCCTTGGTTCTGGAAGTGCAGGGTCGTGGGTGAGGGGCACAAGGATGCACCATTTGCCCTGAGCCCATCCCCACCCTCCTGGAGCACCCAGGAACCTACCTCCCCCAGCTGGAAGCCTAGGGATTGGCTGCAGGTCTCCACCATCTGTAGGAAGTTTTCTGCCTGGAGGCGAGAAAGTCATCCTATTAAAGCTTCATTAAAGGACAGCCCTGGGGGACCTCCCTGGTGGTCCGGTGGCTAAGACTCCACACTCCCAATGCAAGGGTTCGACCCCTGGTCAGGGAACTAGATCCCACATGCTGCAAGAGTTCAAATGCCGCAGCTCAAGATCCAGCATGCTGCAACCAGTCAACCCTAAAGGAAATCAACCTGAATATTCATTGGAAGGACTGATACTGAAGATGAAGCTCCAGTAGTTTGGCCATCTGGTGTGAAGAGCCGACTCATTGGAAAAGACCCTGATGCTGGGAAAGACTGAAGGCAGGAGGAGAAAGACCGACAGAGGATGAGATGGTTGGATGGCATCACCATCTCAATGGATGTGAGTCTGAACAAACTCCAGTAGACAGTGAAAGACAGGGAAGCCTGGTGTGCTGCAGTCCATGGGGTTGCAAAGAGTCAGACATGACTGAGCGACTGAAGACCAACAACAAATGCTGCAACCAAGATTGAAAATCCCATGAGCTGCAACTAGGACCCAGTGCAGTCAAATAATTTAAAAAAAAAACCTTGACGACAAACCTGTTCCAACAAGCCAGTTTCCTCATGGGCAATATGGGGTATACCACCTCCCTTGAACATTTTTGGGTGGATTTGTGGTCATCCAGCAAAAACCAAGCTCTTGGTACCCAGAAGGTAACCATGGCCGCGGGTGACAAAAACCGAGCCCTAACGAACAGTCACCACTCTAAGATGGTCAGGTCATCAAGCTCACATTTTCTTGGACCTGGATACCATTCCCACTTAAAATGGCTTCAAGAAGCAAAGCCCTGTTACCCAGGTCCCCCCATGTGGGGATGAGATTTGAATATGCTGAAATGTTGCAAAGATCCTAAGAAATCAATGGTTTCCTCTTCAGGAGCAGGGCTGGCAACAGGGCAGCCAGGGAACCTGGTGGGAGGGTCACTTATTTACCAGTTAAAGTGGAGCCAAGGCTTCTCTGATGGTCCAGTGGCTAAGTCTCTGTGCTCCCAATCCAGGGGGCCTGGGTTCAATCCCTGGTCAGGGAACTAGATCCCACATGTCACAAGTAAGACGCCGGTGCAGCCAAATGAATATTTTAAAAAATAAAAGTTGAGCAATGTGACTGCTACCGATTCCAGGTTTAAGTCAACAGTTTCTGCGGTCACGGAAGGCTCCCTAAATTTTCTTTCTCCCTCCCAGCAGGTTGTCCATCTGTTCCTTTAGGACAGGCTCCCTCCTATGGCATGTCCTACTGCTTTTCTCCACAAAGCTTTTCTGGCCCAAGTACTAGAATCGATTTTAACCTCTCCTTCCTTGAGACTGTGCTGCCCTGCACAGACTGGCTGCAGGTGGCTATTTAAATATAAAGTTAAGTATAATTAAAAATGCAGGCACTTCTTGGTGGTCCAGAGGTTACAGGTTCTATCCCTAGTCAGGGAACTAAGATCACACATGAAGTAAGACGTGGTCAAAAAAAAAAAAAAAAAGAAATGCAACCTTGAGGCCCACTGGCCACATCCAAGGGCTCAAGAACCAAGGACAGGGATTTACCCGGTGGACCAGTGGCTAAGACTCCAAGTTCTCAATGCAAGGGGTCTGGGTTTCATCCCTGGTCAGGGAACTAGATCCTACACGCCTCAACTAAGACCTGGTACAGTCAAATAAATAAAAAGAACCAAGGGCAGCAGCTCCTACAATGTTCCTGGCCTCCAGCCAAGGACACAAACCATCCAAGACAGGAAGCCCCCCTACAGTACGGCCAGGAATTCGCTGTGGAGACCCACCTTCTCGGGCTGATAAGAGGTTCTGTGAGAATGTGTGTATATGCGGCTATATTTAGTCCAGGAAGACTAAATATAGTGATATTAAGAATGTTCTAGACCTGCCTAAGGTTGAGTCCTGGACATGTGGATGGTGCCACTTGATTGCCAACTAAAATGTAAATAGCCACACATGTCCCATGTCTACTGCAGAGGAGGATACGGGTTCAGTCTTTGGCCTGTGGCTTTGGAGGCAGTGCCCATGGGCCTTACCAATGCACATGCCTCTTCTCCGGATACCAAGATGCTGTTTGGTCCAGGGTGAATTCCGAAATTCTGGGGAAATGTTCTGACTCACAGAAAGAAATAACTGCTAAGGAATGTGGGGTGAGTGCTGACTGTGGCTCTCAGTTCTGTTGAACGGGTACCACTGAGGTTCCCATCCTGCAGATGAGAAAACGAGGCTCAGAGCCCCAAAGTCAGGATATGCGGTGGCTGGGCTGTGTTTACCTGTCCCCACTTGCAGCCTAGTCCCATCTCCTGCCTGTCACTGGGGCGGACTTGGAAGGGGGAGGGAGAGGCTGGGGTGAGGACCCCCTCCCCGAGCCCTCTTAGCTCCAGGCGGCTGCTTCCTAGGGCAGCCAGAGATGGATTCCCCAGCTGGGCCTCCCAGCAGCACAAGGCCCAGGGGAGCCTTCCCCAATTCGCCCTGGCTCGTTAATGCGCAATTTACTGGCACTTTAATGCACTCAGCATGAAAAGTGCTGCTCCCTCCTGCCTGCGAGCTGGCCCTCCCTGGGGAGAGCTGTGTGCAGGCGGGCTGGGGAGCTAGGGGCCCTGCTGCTGCTGCTCGGGATTTTAAATGCGCATTGAGGGAAGCTGGTAGAGGAGGGACTGAAAACAGGGGAGGGGGCGGTGGTCTGTGCAGAACCACGAGTAAGCATTACCTGGGGCTCTCTGTGGGGGGAGGGCTGCTTGGTGGAGACCCTCTGGGATCCTCATCAGACCCTTCGATGCTCAGCACCTGCTATGAATTTCCTCCTCCCAACACATCCCACTCTGCCTGTTTCTCACCAACAAACCTTCCCAGTGACCAGCCTCCCACACCTGGATAGTCCTAACTGGACCCCAACTCCTGTCCCTCCTCCCCGCAGCGGGCACCAGAGGGTGCTGGTGAGCATCTGAGTCAGGGCCTGCCCTGTCCTCTGCCCATAGTCCTCCAGGGCTCCCACCTTCAGGAGAGCAAAAACCCAAGTCCTCCTGCAGCCCCCAAGGCCCTGCACGACCTGCCCCATCTCCTCCCTCCCTCCTCTCCTTCCTCTTTCCCCTTGGCTCACTCTGCTCCAGCCACAGGCCCTCCTGGTTCCTCCAACACGCCAGGGCCAGGAACAGTCCTGCCTCAGGGCCTTTGCACAGGCTGTGCCCTCTGCCAGGTCTACTACTCATTCCAGACACCTATCCTCCCTCCTTCTCTGATCTCCTTCAAGAGTTTGCTCACATGTCACATAATCTTCCTTGACCACCCTGAATTGTAACCCACTGCCACCTTGGTACCCCCCTCCCTCCACATCCCCTTGAGGCTGCTCAATTCCGCCTCCCACCATGCCCAGTCCTCACCATCGGACACTTCTGTTTACCAAGCTCCTCTCACCCCAAGGGCAGCGGTTTGTCTGTGTTCTCTTTTGCTATTTCCCTGGCGCCTACAACCGTACTTGGCAAGGAGGTGATGGATAAATATCTGTTGAATGAATAACCGTGTTCTGCTTGCTTCCTGGCCCCTCCTCCTCCACTCTGCTCTACTCTGGATCTGTCTTTCCCTGTTCCCTGAGCTTCTCACCCCAGGCTCTGCTAAGTCGCAGACACAGCCCTGGCCCTCCGCCAGTCACATGTGGCACAGGCGGAAAAGTCCTGACAGTGCCCAGGAGAAAGGAGCCAGGTGGTGGGAGGACAGGCAGGGTGGAAGCTGTGCTTCAGCCTGGGCAAGGCGCCCCAAGTGGGAGGAGGGGAGACCTGGTGCAGGCCTGCTCTCCCCAGCCAATGTGAGCCAGGCCGTTGAGAACCTCAGATACAGGGAGACTGCATTTGGCTGTGCCTGGCACATAATGGCCCCTTCCCAGCAGAAGCAACTGACCTATGAAGTGCTGACTGGCCCTTGGCCTTCTCTAGTCCCATGGGGATTGGGAGCAGGCCCAGAAGGAAGAGGCACAGGATCAGAGATGCACTCCTGAGATATGGGGCTACCTCATATCCTGGGGTTCCACTTCAGGCCCTATGCCCTCTATCTGCAGCCCTCCCACCTCCCAGGGGGCAGGGGGAAGCCCAAGTCTTTCCCTTCAGCCTGCTAGGGCCTGTACCACCTGATCTGTCCCTCCCTCCCCTCCCCTCTTCCCTCTGTCCCCCTTTTTCCTGCTGTGCAAGGAGGGCAGCCCTCCCTCGCCACCCAAGCTCCCATCACTCATTCACCTGCTTGAGATGCTCCTGGATCCCCTGCTGGATTTTCAGGACCTGCAAAGAACACCAGCAATCACATGAGGAGGCGGTCGACGGACATGAGCAAGAATGCAAGACTTAATGCTGTGCGGCCCTCTCCCCAGTTGTGTGACCCTGGACAAGTTGTGATACCTCCCTGGTCTCTGCTCTCATCAAATGGGATATGGCCAACTATACTCAGAGTGGGAGGTAATTAGGGAGACCCCTGGCAGTCATGCTTTCAAACTGTGGTGCTGAAGAAGACTCTTCAGAGTCCCTTGGACTGCAAAGGAGATCAAACCAGTCAACACCAAAGGAAATCAACCCTGAATACTCATTGGAAGGACTGATGCTGAAACTGAAACTACAATACTTTGGCCACCTGATGCGAAGAGCCAACTCACTGGAAAAGACTCTGATACCAGGAAAGATTGAGGGCAGAAGGAGAAGTGGGCAACAGAGGATAAGATGGTTGGATGGCATCACCACTTAGTGGACATGAGTTTGAGCAAGCTCCAGAGATAGCGGAGGACAGGGAAGCCTGGCATGCTGCAGTCCATGGTGTCGCAAAGTGTCAGACATGACTGAGCGACTGAACAACCGACTGTCATTCTAGGTATGAAGAGAAGGTCAAAGGGGGCTGTGACCTGCCCTGTCCCCTCCCTGCCCTCTCCGCCGCCTCCTTTCCCCCTCACTCACTGCTCCAGCCACACGGGCCTCCTCACTGTTTCT